ACCCTCACATCCTGCTCACCTTCATGGCAAACCAAGAAGAGACCGAGACAAGAGGGTGAGGGGGCCCCTGTGGAGCTGCCACTGCCCTGGTCACCTTTAGCCAGAGTGAGCGAAAAGCAGCTTCCACCCCCAAGGGCGCCCCCCCCCCCGGGGGTCTCTGAGGAAGCCAGTCTACCTCCAGGGAGGACCCCTGCCCTCGGTCCCTTCCTCAGAACCAGACACCTGTAGGGGCCTGGGAAAAGTGCAGATAAAGAAAGCAATGAGGCCCAGATGCGGGTTTACGCCCATAATCCTGGCACTGTGGGAGGCGGAGGCAAGACATCTCAACTTCCAGCCCAGTCAGGGAAATTCAGTGACACAGTGAGACCCTGTCTTAAAATAAGAAAACATGGGGAGATGGCTCAGTGGATAAGTGCTTCCCTGGCAAGCGCAAGGGCGTGAGGTCAATCCCCGGTTCTGCTAAAAAACAAAAACAAAAACAAAAACCAACAAAGTGAGACCCTGTTTTAAAAAAAAAAAAGAAAAAGAAAGAAAGATAGATCAGAGCTGGAGAGTTGCGCCAGGCGTTCCAAACCCAAGTGCCCGTGAGGCCAAGTGAACAGTAGAAATGGGCAAAGGTGGCAGAGGACAACTGGACCCCACTGTGGACACCTGCAGGATACACCTTGAGAAATGGAAAACCAGGAAACCTGTCAGGCTGAACCCTGAGTCCACAAAGGGCTCGCCCCTGACGCGAACCTCCAGATACCAGAGCTGGGGAGGGGACTCCCTCCGCAGAGGAAGGGAGAGTGGGTCCCCGCAGCCGGAGCTGCACGCGGGCCCCTTGCTGCAGGCGGGCCCTGAAAGGCTGGCCCCGCAGAGGCCGGCGAGCTAGCCGGGAGAGGGCTGGCTGCGGACGGCGGAACGGGAGTTCGGTCAGGGGATTTGGACTCTGTCCCGAGAGCAATCCGATTCGAGCTGGAAATGAGATAAGCTTATTTGCAGTCCAGACCCAGCTGACCGCAGGGAGGGGTCTCGGGGCCAGCGCGGCCACGGGGAGCCCGAGGAGGCCGTCCGGGGAGGCTGCGGGGGTCGGGTGGGGTCCAGGCAAGGGGCAGAGCTGGGGGGCTGTGCGGTGGGAGCCGGGCACGCTGCTCCCTGGTGCTGTCCACCCCGGGGGGCCCCACTACCTCCTTGCCCCTCCGGCCTGGAGCTGGGTCGCCCCCTGTGCCCATCACATTGGCTTGCTAAAGGAAGGGGACGCGTGTCAGTGCGGATCGGCGGGAGCGAGAAAGCGGGGCGCGGCTGAGGGTCCGCGTCGCCGTCCTCGGTGGGGGTCCCATCTCATCGGCAAGGGAACTGAGGTTTTTTGAGGTCAAGAGGGCAGCTCAAGGTCACACAACGCCCCCGTAGGGAGGGCCTGAAATGCGTCTCACTCACTCAAGAATACCTGCTGCGCGCCCACGCT